CTGAGTTGTTCACCACTTGGTTGACAGAACGATCTGGCACTGGAGAGCAGGTCAGCAGGTCTTTTATTGCAGGAGATGATTACTTGATGAGGATCAGGAGTGGAGCTCAGCAGGTGAGATGAATTGGGGACCCGCCCAGGAAAAGCCAAATAAGGTGAGAGAAGGGAAGAGGGAGCAGGGAAGGGAGGGGTAGGAGGGGCAGAAAGAAACCCTCACATACACACATACACGTGCCTTGTCTTGTGACATGAACACTCCATTAACTTATCTGTAGTCTAGAGTAAGTAGATTTTCAAAACCAAAAACTGGGACACACCCGGTTTAGGTTGGTTGGTAATAATAAAATTATGAAACAAGTGTGTAATTAAGGAAAACTGTACTAAGTTCATTCATGACTAACATGTGAGTCAGTACAATTTTGGTAATTTTTAAGTATCCTTTTCTGTATTTTACTTAAATAAATGGGGGACCTTTCTTGTATAAGACTGTGGCTAATGAATGGCTTTGGATAAATCTGCTGGGACAGGAGACACGGGGCACAAAACTGGGACTGTCCCAGGTAAATAGGGACGTCTGATCATCCTACTGTAGTCTACTTTATAGTGGGGTGTCTTTTGTGTCCATGAAGTTAGTCTATATCTGAAGTGATTTGGAGTCATACAAGTTTTTCTGCCGTTAGAGCGATGAAGCATTTTTCCAACGAGTTTTTTTAACAACCATAGGCTAAAAATAGGCTTCATGGGATCCATAAGTCTTGCCAGCTCTAACAAGCACGACTCTCGGGCTCAGAGCCGCGCTGGTTCTCGTGTTTGGAGCGGCGTAGCTCCTCCTCAAAGTCCGCTATCGTGCTCTGAAGCAGCGCACATATGTCCTCAGCACCAGCACTCAGCCGCTCCTCCACAAAATCTCTCCACCCTGCGGACATGTGTCATCGTTTTGCCGGTGTACGGCTCCGCTCTTCCGTTACCGGTGGTGCTGCCGTTACAGCTTGTTAAAGAGCGCTCTGTCCAACGGTCAGTTCAAACGTGCTAATTGCTAAGTTGATTCAGAACTGCTTTGAACATTATCAAACTGTTGTTTTGACTGGTGTTTCAGTTCTTGTTTTGGTTGGATCTTTTAGCCTGATCTGAGACTCAGGTTATAGTACTAATACAATGTTCATGTTCAACATAAATATGTTATGTTTAACATAAATAAAGTGCAACTGTTTTTAGAGCTCGCGCTCCTGGCGTAGTGCTGCCACCCGCTGGTCGTCCGTGGTACCGCAGTAGAGAGAAGCTCACACTTTTAAATGGAGATTACTGGCACAGCCAGAGCTCTGGGATGATTTCATGAGAAATGGTCTGTGTTGAGATAGAGGAAGCTTTAATGCTCCCTACTTGTTTGTAAAGCATCTCTGAGTGTAAAACTAATTAGACACATTCTCATTTCCAGAAGTGTAGAGACTTCATGGCACACTTTGACCACAGCATAGTGTGTTAGTGGTTGTGATGTAGTACTATGTAAAATAACTACTAAAAATAGATAACTTATTTAAAGGAGGTGAATTATGCTTTTCACTGCTTTTCAATTTTAAAGCTATGACTGACTTCACACTCCCTTAGTCGACTTCTTTATACAGTCTATGATATATAGACCCTGTCTTCACACACAGCCCTGGACCATTAGCCTGATTCATCAGCTGGATACAAATACTCATTTGTACCCCATTTAATGGTGCACTTTGTAATCTTTCTGGTGGAGAATGTGATGGCCTGGGCGGTTCTCGGGAAGGGACAATAGCGTGTCTGGGCTGTCGCATTGGAGGACATGTGCACCGGCCGAGGTCTGGGTGAGGGCAATTCGACACCACTTGCAGCTTTAATCACTTCTTCTCTTTTCTTTTCTCATTTATGGTTGGAATAATCCACATTATGTTGTTCCACTGGCTACTTTACCGCTTTCCACCTCTCAAGTGTAAATATTATTTTGATTCTAAGTTTTGTCCCTAGGGTAAAATCTGTTATTGCACTTGGTTGCATGATGTATTCATGGTGATGAAATAAACCTTTGTAGCCATTGCCAAAGATGAAATGCAAAAAATGTTTCAGGTCATTCACAGTAGCATGTTCAACTATCTTGTCTACTTTCATGTTCTGTGTAGATGAAAAACAGACCTCATCCAGCAGAGAATATCTGTACTTCAACACAAGGCCCCTAAGAATTTGTACTTGTATTCCCTTATCCACAGCCCACTCATGATGAAATATTAAATGGTTGACTCCTGTGGTAATAGGGCATAAAAACCTGGTGCCAAAATCCCTGCCAAGTTAAGAGAGGAAAGGGAGATGGTTTGGGTGTGTCTCCTGCATTATTAAACTTAGGCAGCTGTTCACCTGAAGACTAGCAAACCATGTGATCAATGTCAATCATAGAATTAATATTATGAATATTATTTTTTCTAAATTCAAGTTAAAAAATGTAAAGTGATTAAAACCATAACACATCCTACACCCTTTCAAAAGAGCTCAAAAAGTTAAAGTTAAAGTTGCTACCCTCTGTTAGTTTGTTTATCTATTCCATGACATTACCAGTAACATAAATCAAATGACATGTTTTAATGGCTATGGAAATGTGTGTCTCATTTTACATGATCACTATGTTAGCAATGTCTACCACTGCTTTACAAATGTTAGAAGAAAATTATAAAATGGAATTTAGCATATCATATTTGATCAAAAATACGAAACAAGCTTTCAGTCCTATGTTATGAGTTTTTGTTTTTTTTTTTTTTGAGACCAAGAGTTTGTTTTCATGCCTGACAGTTTCAACTGCTCACTGGTGGTCTTCCTCTGAGTGGGCATGTGATGTTGCTATGACCTCAGTTCCACTTCCTCAGGACAGTATCCCAGATGTGTGAGAGTAAAAAAAAATAAAAATAGAACTGAAGCACAAATGTAATGTAATGCAATTGTGCATTTATGCAAATATACATTGTATACAAATATGCTTGAAAAAATAAACATAATACTGAATGCGAGAAGGAAACAATGAAGGCATGCGCACAAGCAACAAAACACAAATCAGAACATGAACAACTCAAATCAGCCATTTCTGATCACTGAGGACAACAGACACCGTCGCTGGATCTAGAAGGCTATCAAAATACAGAAATATGCCCACGAGACCATAAATTAGGATGAGGGGGCTTTTTTATTCTCACACACCTAGGATACTGTCCTGAGGAATTTGGACTGCAGATCCTGGAGGACAGCACCAATTTAGCTTTCAGTCTTATCACTTATATCCTACTAAGTAAAACATAAAAAGCTCACCACATCTTGAGAACACATGTCTCATGGAAATTTATTTTATTCCAAACAAAAAAAATGAAGTTTGGGACAGCAACTAAACAATGGAATATTGAAACTAATGGTGAGACTAATTAGGAGAGAGTGTCAGAACTGGAGACAGGGAAGGAGATGAGGATTGCGTCAGATATTCGTGTGTCTGTGTGCATGTGTTTGTGTGTGTGTGTGTGTGTGTGTGTGTGTGTGTGTGTGTGTGTGTGTGTGTGTGTGTGTGTGTGTGTGTGTGTGTGTGTGTGTGTGTGTGTTGTGTGTGTGTGTGTGTGTGTGTGTGTGTGAGACAATCTTGAGCAAAGCCGGAGAAGTCTTTCATGCTCAAAATGGGTAAACATTGGTTCATATTCTTTCATCACTGCTGTGCATTCTATGCCTTTCTATCTTTCTGCGCACCAATATTGCATTATATTCATAGTGTTGAGGTTACTCTCCCACTGACACAAAACCAACTTCTGCTTATCAGACAGTTGTGCTTTGGGGCAGCCTCACAGAGCAAATGAACAAATGCACTGGCCAGAATCTAGATAAATTCTCATGAAATTATTTCTATAAATATTTTTGAATATTTTGTGAATCAATAAAACACCTGCAGCATTTTATGTTTTTTAGGGGACATTACACTGACTACACTCATTTTCTGGAGACTGAACTAACATCTGAACTTTGAACTGACTCTTGTAGATTCATTAATAACTAGTACATTGAGAGTAAATAAATAATTCACTGGGACCTGATTTTTGTCCCCATAACCGTGACATCTAAAACTGCAATGTGAGTTAAGTAGGTGCTTGGTAACAAAAGAATTTCAATATGGTCATTCTTTGCTTGCAAAAACAATATTCATTGCAGAAACATTATGGTTGTTTGCTCTGTGCCTTTATAGTCCCCAAACCCAATATGTTCCCTGGCAAAGCAAATGAGGTCATTTAGTCCAACACACCCTGTAGTCTGCTAACGATTAAACAACAATTATCCAAGGTGAAGCTGAATTCCTCTTCAAGTTCCATGCTGGTTGGACTGTTCGATGTGGTTTGTGGAGAGTTGTTAGAAAGGCTGTGTTATTCTGATGGTGAATGAATACTGGTAGAAATGATAACCAGGTGTCATCCACGCAAGAAAGTGCGTCAGGTAATATAAAAAGATGTGATATGGAAATAGGGCGCATGGCATTTGGAGCCCATGCAGCCCAGCAACACAGACAGGTGAGTACACTAAATGTCTTTTATATACTATCTTACTGTCCTTTATCTATATAATACAAACAGACACTTCATTTTTAAAATAGAATGACAATGGTATACACTGATTCTAAAGACAGTTGTATTGTCTGGACTTATGTAATTACCGTAGTTTGTTTCAGTCGCTTTGGCACATTTTCTGAAACATAAACTATCATAAATCTTGCAGATCTTTCACAAAAAGAACCTGTATCAGTTTCTGTAGACTTGGGAGTGAGGTATTTTCAATATTTAACTTTTTTAGCAATTAGCGTCAAATATCAGAACTGAGTCTCTAGATCAAAATTTGTATTCAGACTTGGTTTTCACTGCAGATGTCTTTTATGTTGTGCTTTCTAATGCTTTTTTAGTCTGAAATTAAATGTCCTTGTATTGTGATTCCTGTGTGTTATGTTGTGTCTCCTGTGTCATTGGTCTATGGACTTCGAGCAGCGTGTGCAGTTACAAGGTGAACAGACTAGTACATGCAAATAGTGTTTCAATTGCAATCTGACTTTAAATAGTAGTAGTAGTAGTCGTTGTGTGTAGGTACCTCAAAAATACTATATAATTATTTTGCTTTGAAAGAATTTTTTTCCCTGGAAGTGTATACCTTAGTTGTCTGTGTAATCCTTAAATCATCCAGGTAAGTACCACAGCAAATGAAAATTAAATTCTGTCAACTAGACAAACTGATTTTGTCCAGTTGACAAAACAGAATTTTCTTTTGCTTTATATACCTTAGTGGCAAGGTGAAACACTGTATTGTTAACTTTGAATGTCAAACTGCCACCAAGCCTTCATTGCTTCTTATCACAGAAAATGTGTCAGTTGTATTCAGCATTTTACTCAAATACGATCTTCATCTTGAATCTTTTAAAGCATGAGGTCATTTAGAAGTTGTATTACACTCAAAATGTATTTAGAGATAGTGGCATGTAACTTCAAGATAGTGCTACATAATTTCATCATAGTTTCACATTCAAACATGATACGGCCCATTTTGTATATACACCTTGTTTGAAAGGTTGACGTGTGCACATATAACTGCATTTCAGTAGCCTTCACACTTTCAGTTAGCTAGACCTGGGCTGAATTTGTTTTTTCTCACAGTGCTCTCCCTCTCATCAGATAAACTTGGAGTCTGTTTGCATCATGCTCAGGCTGAAAGTCAATCTGAAGAGTGTGGGTGTGTTTTGTGTCCTCACTGCTACTACTGTGTTCTACTGTTTCTCCTCTGTCCACCTCCAGCACAGCCTCAAGGAGTAAGAAACACACAAACCGCACACTATCATAACAATATGACTTAAGTAAACAATTACATAAAATAGGTACACAGACCATCACTGCCAGTCCTGTAAATGAGTAACAGGAACATGATAAGAAGAAGCTACCTCCCAATGTTGTGCAGGATTATTGGGCCAGTTATTCATTTTAATCATTAGTAGCTAGTTGTATGTGGCATAGTTGGAGTAATGGTTATAGTATTAGTAGTATAGTAAAGTATATTATTAATACTTTAGTAAAGTACATTATTAGTACATTAGTAAAGAAGAAGAGCATTTAGGAGCACTATTGGAAGTATTAAGAATGGTAATGTAATAATACTCATATGGCAGTAATCTTGGTATAAATGGGAGTAGCAGCAGCCATAGAAATGTTTCACTAATCATATAATCTATTTTGGTTTAGTCCAAACTCAGACTTTGTTAGCCCTAAAAAGAGCTCAAATCTGAGTTTTTAGTTTCACAAAAAGAGTTCAACTAAACCCTGAGCCAGTAACCATGGGAAGTCACTTTGTAAACCTAACCTGGTCTAGAGCAGGTTGTATTCCTCTACTTGTATTTATGATTTATACTTTACTATTATTTTACACAAATGACTATCTCTGAGATCTCTAACTCTGTTCCAAATCTTTTTAATGAACTGAAAACTCTGAGTTATCTGTCCCAGGGAGAGATTAACCATGAGTTAGTTCTTAAACCCATGGTTTATTGAACCTTCTTTGTGAAACGGGACCATGAAGTTCTCCTTCCATTTATGTCACTGAACACATTTTAAGACATGACCATACAATAAGGAGTGGTTTTATTATTTTTTTTATGTTACTAGATGATTAATTTATTAATAAACACAAAACTAACTGTTGCATTAAAAACCCTATAAAGTTATATTGTTTTCATGATGTGACAGAATTTTATTATTATTAATTATTATTATTAAGAGTTACACAAGACTGAAATAAAGTTTATTATCCCAATGGGGGGATTCCTTCTCCTTTTTTTTTTTTTTTCTTTTTTATTGACATATTAATTTATGGTCAGTTTAAAATGTTATCTGGCATGGAACTAACTTTAAATTTTCTGTCTCCAGTTTCCCTGTGCCTTCTTCATGTGATCCTAGGCAGATCCTCCCATCTCCACCCATTTCCCAGAATTCCAGTCGCTGTGTCCCTAAAGTGGATATTATGTTCATGAAGACTCATAAAACTGCCAGTAGCACTATCATCAACATCCTCTTTCGTTTTGGCCAAAAGCATGGACTTAAATTTGCCTTTCCAAATAGCAGGAATGATTTCTATTATCCATCTTCTTTCCAACGCACATATGTGGAGGGATACCAGTCCGGCATTTGCTTTAACATAATGTGCAACCATATGAGATTTAATAGCTCTGAAGTTACTCAAGTTGTACCTCTGGACTCTGTTTACTTCACTGTCCTAAGAGACCCAGCTGAGTTATTCGAGTCATCTTTCCATTACTTTAGTCATATTATTCCATTAACTTGGTGGATTGGAGGCAAGGATAAAATGACAGAATTCCTTCGTGCTCCAAACCTCTACTACAAACCAAACGGATTGTACTCTTTCTATCTTAAAAATCTGCTTTTCTTCGATTTTGGATATGATAATAATCTAGATGAAGACAGTCCAATAGTGGAACAGAGCCTCAAGGAGATTGCTGAGCGCTTTGACCTGGTGATGTTAACGGAGCACTTTGAGGAATCTCTCATACTGCTCAAGGATGCCCTCTGCTGGAGCATGGATGAAATACTGTTTTTCAAGCTTAATTCTCGCAAGGAATCTCCTGTATCAAGACTGACTCCTGAACTAAGGCAAAAAGCCCTTAAGTGGAACAGCATTGATTGGAAACTATATCAATATTTCAATAGCACTTTCTGGCACAAAGTGGAACTGTATGGGAGAGAACAAATGGCTAAAGATGTGGCTGAGCTTAAAAGGAGAAATGCCAAAATGATGGAAATATGCATCGAGGGGGGTCACTCAGTTGATGCCTCGAGCATTCACAATGAAGATCTGCAGCCATGGCAACCAGTGGGAGAAAAATCTATAGTGGGATACAATCTGAAAAGTAACATTGATGAACAATATGAGGAGCTATGCAGGAAGATGCTGACCCCAGAACTGCAGTACATGTCTGATTTAGGGAGCAACTTGTGGCTCACCAAACTATGGGGGTCTGTGAGAAAAGTGATACGATGGTGAGACTCTGATGCTAGTTTTTTTTTTTTTCTTTTTTTTTTTTTTCATGGATATATTTATTTTGTATTATAGTGTCAAGACAGAGTGGACTTTCAACTTGCAAACAAGCAACAATTGTATATTGGTTCGTAATGAGTCCGTAGACAACCACAATTCAGTTCAAAATGCCTATTAACTTTATGTCTCTTTTGTTGTATATACTTAAATCTTAGTATGTAACTTTTCTGATGGAAGTTTTGGATCAGATGGGAAGTTGGTGGAAGTTTTGCAGAGAGATCCCTTCACAGTAATCATGCTTTTCATAGTATCTTGGAGTAATAAAAAACGTTGTCATATAAATGTGATCAATTTGATGCCAGTCTATGAAACCTTTCAGGCAAAAATAATAATAATGGCATGTATATGGACACAAGCAAGTCAGCAAAGTTGCATAGTGCACCTTTAAGAGCTTCAATTTGAATGATGTTACATACACACGATTGCTTATGTTGTGTTTTTTACTGTTTCAAGTAAAACTATATTAAGAAGTATATGTAATGTCAAATGGTATACACAGGTGCATTCAATATGTATTATGATGATGATGATGATGATGATGATGATGATGATTATTATTATTATTTGCACTTTTTTATTTTGTATTTAATTTATTAATTTAGCTTTTTATACTAAGAATGGGCACCTCTGCAGTTCATGTTTTCAAGTATAAACATGCTAATATGTACAAACTGTCATTTTCCCAGAATGCACTCGTTGCTCAAGTTCAAGTCCAAGTTATGCATCAAAGATAAATAACACAAACTGAATCTTTCACCACGTATCTGTGTTATTAAAGTCACCTGGAAAACATTGCGTTTTGTTGATGTACTAGAAGTAGAACCATTGATTAGGTTATCTCCATCTGCAGGGGTCAGGACATGTTCAAAGTGGTGTGAGTGGTGAAATATTTGAGTGTAACAGCTGATAAATAGCCCACTGATTTTGGGAAGAGAGTTCACAAAATACACTATGCACTCTATGCTAGAATACACTGAACATGTGGTTCTTATCCCATTCCAATTTTATCTCAGGATCTTCACATTGCAACTGTGTGACCTCGAGTCCACGTCTGGAAATCTATTTTTAGACTGCCATATACTGTTACGTCAAAGCCCCGAAGACAGACAGGTACCACAAATGCCCAGAAGAGGGAGCCAGAGTCCAAGGCTTCAGTCATCGTGTACCCTCATAGGAGACGCTGGATGAGTCATTTTACAGCTGTACAGACCTTCACGGTGACTTTGGGGAGAAGGATATTATGTAACGAGCCATGGACTGTAACACACAAACACACAGGGAGAAAAGGGGAGCATAATTTTACATTCAGAGCACCATGGCCTTGTCCTTGACTGGAAGCTAGACGTGCACTTCTTGCTTCAACTGTTTACAAACCCAAGCCAGCATGCAGACACTGTCTACACTAACTTATGCATTATACATGTGAATGGTAAAAATATCAAAGTTATGTCACCAAGACAAAGTTCTGCTCTGGACAGTTTGTTCTTTTGGGGCTTTATTGTGAAAGCACAGCCCACAAGAGTGATATCCATGGCTTTTTGCTTCTGTCTGTTCTGAATTTAATTGCATAATGGTCATGACAGTAACCAGGACAAACACAGGCTGATTTGATGGAATATCATAACTTCAAGTATTGGCAGTTTGTATGTATACTTTCACAGTTCCCGATTCAAACCATCCACCCAATGGAAACGGCCTTCAAAATATTGATGTGAGTCAGAATACTTTTGCAAAATCAACATAAATTTTTGTTTTCTTTTATTATCTGCAAATACTACCCTAAACAATGTATTCTTTTAATTGTTTTCGTGAATAGCCATGCCATAGACCATTACCTCACAAATCCTGTATCTGCTGTAGGCCTATAATTTCTAATACTTGTACAATTTCAAAAAACAGTGTCAGTTATCTTATTTCACCTTTTCCAACATGAGTATTTCTTTGAAGTAATAGCCTTGCCTTTATATAAATAGTGTTTGAGTCCCTGTGTTTTCTCTTTCAATGGCCAAAACCCCTGACATAACAGATTTATCTTTACCCCAAATCATTACACTGGGAAAATTGCCAAATCAGCTTATAGTGCGCATAAACCCCAGTGGACTGCCGGCACGTGTGGCTGTACATTCTTAGCCTTTTGCATCTTGCATAAATCCAAAGATGTATTTCATTAGTTTTCAAGGTTCATCAATAACATTAACTCATTGTTTTTGTACGCCCTGTTCCTGTGCATTGTGGGATATTTGGTATGGATACTCGGATGCAGCGGTGCTCAGTATGCCCCTTGCTTTTCCTCCCATCTGCCTCCCCTCCCTTCTGGATCTCACGTGGATGCGGAGAGAGGAGCATGAGTTCAGAAAAAAAAAAAAAAAAAACCTGTTAGTGGGGCAGATGCACTTTTGCGGTCTCCTCTCTCCCTCTGTAATCCATACAAGAGAACTGCCTCATTACTGCATTCTATTTTTACACTGATAATGACCCATTGATGATCAGTGTTTTTATTTAAGAACAATTGTCACAGTCAGCAATCAGTGCATTGTATGATTACACATGACTTAGCCCACCTTCAGTGTTGGGAAGTAACTGAATAGATGTACCAAGAATATGTATGCCGAATGCTAATTTTGAGTAACTCTATTCTGTTAATTCCGTCAAAATACACTTGGCAATACTTGATCACACAATTTATGCTTCAAACTATGCATAATTAGTGAAGAAATTAGAAAACACTGCTTTTGTGGTGCATGCAAATGTGATTTTTGATTCTATGATCAATAAATGCATAATAAATGGTAAAAAAAATATAAACCTGTTAATCCTATTTTGTGTCTTTACACTGTAATTTAAATGCAACCCTGTGTTAATGTTTTCAAAGTCTTCAGAATGTAATGCTCTGATTGGACCATGTATCAGAATACAAAAATACATTTTCTGTAAATTTATTTTCCAAGTATTCTTCCCACTACTGCTCACCTTATATTTTATTCTAGTGTGTAGCTAAAATATAGTATTTGCAATCCCTTCCAGTGTCAGTATTATAAATCATGCTACTGGCCTTCAGGTTACCTACAATATCGCCCTTGCAATCATCCAGGCTATCTGCACTAAGAGACTCTTGTCCTTTTTATAAATTGGGCCATAAATAAAACATTGAGTGAATATATATTTGGACGCTGTTGGACAGGACAGTCTTCACAGGGCACAATATTTCCTAACCCTTTATTGAAAAACAGCTACTCTCCTTATCTGCAAGCATCAGTATTGAAAGGGCAACCCAGTGTTAGTCAATCTACCTGCATCCTCTCTTCTATCCACATTAAAGGATTTGGGCTGGTCATAAATAGCAATGGGGTGCTCCCTTGGGAACTACTCTAGAGCTGCTAGGTATCAAATGATGATGTTGTTTATGTTGTTTTTAACAATTGTGCTAAATAAAGTCGAGGCAATATTCAGCCTTTACTCCAATATACTGTTTCTAAGAGAGAGAAAAATATGCAACAAATAATTGTTCTGGCCTTGTTTGCAGTGGATTCACTGTGCATGATGTTCTTGCATCTGGGTTATGATGGGTTTTCATGGCCATGGTCTAGCCATATACTCTGTTTGCACAGAACAATGTGTTCTGGTCATAACCAGATATGTAGAAAAGATAAGATAATCCAACTTACAAAATCAACATATAAAACTGCTGTTAGAGAAGTGGTGTTTGGACAGGAGAGTGTGGAGGGGTGACCATTAAAAACAAGCATGTGAGGTGAGAAGTTGCCTCATCAGCAGAGTCAAACTAGGGTCACGGTAAACAGATAGAGAGAGAGAGAGAGCAGTGACAGCAAAATAGAAAGGAAAATATAGATTAAAAACTCCAAAAGGGTAAGAGGGCATCAAAACATATTAACATGTTATTCTGTGTACTGCTACATTAAAAAAGATTTCAATCTCCAACAATATTTTGATACAATATCATATCATATATTGTATTATATCATATCGTATCATATCATATTATACTATATCATATTATATTGTATTATATTATAGTTAGTGCTGTCATGCGATTAAAAAAATTGAGAGATTAATTAATTATGATCTGTAATTAATTAATCTAATTAATCTCATTTTAATCTCACCTAAAAATTGCTGAGAAAAGCCTTCAATTTGAGGTATTTTCATTTAAATTCATTATTACATTATTGTGGCAGATCAAAAGACTGATATAGATTAAAAAAAGTGACTTTATAAAGTCATTTATTGTTTAACAAATCTCTTCAATTTGGCTGTTGAGCCCAAGTCTCCATGAATAAGAAACTGTTTGCTGTAAAGTAGCAAAGACGAGGAAATCTGAACATAATAACCTTTGTCTACTTAAAGACAATAAAAAGGCCAGTCTTTCCTTAACCATATTAAAAAATATTATTGATAGAGAAATGCTTTATATATGAGATCACTGGTTTTAGTCCTGGTTTAGACCTGCTTTAGTCCTACTTTAGTCCTAGTTTAGTCCTGGAATGGATTAATCCTGGTTTTAGTCCTGGTGTTAGTTCTGGTTTAGTCCTGGTTTTAGTCCTGGTTTAGTCCTGGTTTAGACCTGGTTTAGTCCTGGTTTAGTCCTGGACTGAATTAGTCCTGGTTTTAGTCTTGGTGTTAGTTCTGGTTTAGAGGCTCACAGGAGGAAGCGCGGTTTACGCAGCGTACGCGAGAAAACACGATCCACACGCGGCTCACGGGAGCACGTCGGTGTCCGCGCAGTAACTACGGAAGGAAACGTGGTCCGCGCGTTCTCAGGTTAATGACGATGATGAAGGTGTTTGTTTGTGTGTGTTTGTGTGTGTGTGTGTGTTTGTGTGTGTTGTGTTTGTGTTTGTGTTTGTGTGTGTTGTGTTGTGTTTGTGTGTGTTTGTGTGCGTGTCCCCTCATGTGGCAGGTCACTATAGGACAGTAGTGCAGACATC